TCTCGGACACGTTGACATAGCTCCCTCTTTCGTGCAAGAGCTCACGTGTTTTCATGTAAGGCGAGCGAGATGTTCGTGGGAACGCTTACTGGGTGCTTTGGGTAGAAACCCGAACGTGAAAAATGCATCCTGTGATCTTTCCAAAAAACCCCTTCAGGCAGATTTCTAGGCGGGCCCCAGTCTTCAGAGTTTGCAAGAGCGTAAGATCTAGTGTTTCCCCATTTAGGGGCTGCATGAGTGGTTCGGGCCGTTATGCAGACTTCTGAAGGAGTATGCGTGAGGTCACTTATTTCCTTTATGTCGTATCGTGGGAAATCCTCCATGTGGTCAGATCATTGCATGGGTCCACCGAGCAACACGGTTCCACAGTTTTGCAGTGTGATGGGTGTCCATCCAGTTGCCACTGTCTCTGCTTTCCACCCATATCTCAACAATAGGGCATCTCTGAATTCGCCTCTCCTGCGGAGGTAAAGTCGGTGGTGCTTCCAGTGGGAGGACTGAGAGCCATGCGGAGAGCCTTTCTCCAGTTGCAAGGCGACTACGTTCTATCTCTCTCTCTCCTCGCTTCTTGTCAAATGGCATGGTTTGAGATGGTTTGCCTGGATTACTTTGGCTTTGTCCCCTGTCTCTGTCGTTTCGCTCGTCCGATGTTCTTTCCTTGATGGCAGTTTTAGCCTCCCGTCTGGTCAACAGCTTTGTTCCGGTCCTCTGTGCTACTATCAAAGCTGCACGAGGCGCTCAGAGGCCTGGAAAGCATGTCATGGGGTTCGTTGCTGGATTGGTTAGCCCCACGCCACCAAGCCTGACGGGAGGGCGAGGAGGTCTCCCCTCTGTCTGGAGCGGGTGCTCGGCCAGTGCGGGCGGGGATAAGACATTGGGTGATAGCAGGTCTCCAGGGGGAGTAGTATGGTATTTCTCATTCTTAATGCTCAGTGTCTCGGTGCTGGAGATGTAGGAACCAGCGGCGTACATAGATGCCATGGGTGAAAGCTGCGCTCGCTGCCATGTGGGTTGGGTGGTCAACATGCAGGAGAAAGACACTGCTGTTTATGATGTCATTCCTGGAGATATGTGACTCTACATTCATGTGCAATGGCGTGAATTTGACTGCACTTGTCACAATAATTGTCTGTCTCTGTCACAACTAGAGCGCACGCGCGCAATAAAATCGTACGCCGCGCGCCCCCGGAAGCGGAAACAAGCGTTTGGTATAATTCCACGGCTCAGCTCGAGCTCGTACATTTTCACTCTGCGATGGATTCGAGATTTGTGCTTGCGTTGAGTCTCCTCTGTAGTCTGGAGGTCGACTGTCAGACTGTCCCTTATGTCTCCATATCCATGGGAGCTGGGCTACCTAACCATAGTTATGTAGACCTTGGAACAGTGGGGCATAGTGATAGCACCAGTGTTTGGTGTCACACTGATCTGGAGACTTGTTGCAGAATTGAAGATGGTCCTCATCGTGGACAATGGTTTTTCCCTGATGGTGTAGCTCTGCAGACAATGAAGATATTTATGTGGTTGAAGAACAACAGAGAGTTGAACTACGTCGTGCAAACAATGCCATTTCACCAACTGGTATATACCGTTGTGAGATTCCAACCAATGCTGTCCATGATGATACAGACATCTCAGTGAGAGCCACAGTCTATGTGGGACTGTATACTAGTGAAGGTAAATTTGTTAGCAGAAAGTGCTCAGGATAATGTTACATTGACCAAAATACACGAATCTAAGGGTTTCTTTTAAAAATAGGAGGGAGCATCTCAATATCAGGAGGAGTGACATTTGACCCTAGCCAGCTGACCCTCACCTGTATCTCCACTGGTGGACCTGCTACCACTGTCACTTGGACCAGAGACTCCACCACTGTCACCCAAGGAGCCCAGACTGTGTTGAATGACCCAGTGACTGCACAGTACACCCACACTCTGACTGTGACTGCTTTGGGAACATACACATGTACTGTGTCTAATGTCAAGCCATCGTCTGCATCATCTAGCATCACATTAGGTATCAGCTTGCAACACATTGAGATTATTTGATGACTCATTTTCCACAGTTTATCTGCTCTAGTTCTGCATACATCCCCAACAGTCACATCCACTACCATCACTATCACTGGCAGTGTTCCAGATGTGACTGGGTTTATAATCCATTGGCAGAGAGACACGTCAGTTGGCTGCTCCTCTTCAAATCAGCGAATTATTACTGTGAATCAAGGTTTTAGTGGTTCATACAGAATAACTGGACTAGAGCCAGGGAATAGGTACACCATTACTGTGACAGTCTTCAATGCAGCTGGCAGTGGTCCAGTCAGTAATGCTGTAACTGCAACAACTATGGAGACAAGTAAGAGGCTCAGTCAATAATGTGTGACTTATCCCTGTTTTTCATAAAATAATATTATACAGTACCTACAGGACGCCCCAGCTCAGTCAGAAATGGTACAGTCACTGCCAGTAGTATAACTGTCCGTTGGCAGGCAGTGTTATGTCTTGACCGTAATGGAGAGATAACTGGTTACATAGCACAGGCTGTGAGAAATGGAATGGTAGAAGGAACTGCTAGTGTCGGTGGTGGGGCTACAGAGGCTACAATCTCTGGATTGTCTCCATCAACCTCCTACACTGTCCAAGTGGCAGCAATGAATGGTGCTGGTACTGGACCATATAGTGGTGTATCTGTCAGGACTAATGGTGAGTTTAGGGCTCAAAAGTAAAGTATTATGAGTGGAATTGTGACTGAGTCTCAATGATCAGTGAGGGAGGAGAAAGTTTGCTTTGGTATCTCTGTCAGGATCGACTAGTGGTAAGTTTGGGGATGACTAAATAAGGCGAAGTTTTATGTGTGGTATTGTGACTGAGTCTCGACTCAGCGATGGGTGAGAATGTTATGACAGTGTAGGCAAAAAGCCACTCCTAAGGGTCTATACTGACTGCTGAGATGTGAAGGCATGTCCACTAAACTGTGTACACAACATCCCATTTCCTACACAAAACATTTCTGACTTTATACACCTGTTTTGCATGCCAGTGTGTAGGCACAGGTTTTCTCTGCCTTAGGATAAACCTTTCTCAACAGATGGACTTAGTACACAAGTTGCAATTAACAAAAATTAGTATTGTACGCCTGTGTGACGGGACAGGTGTTCTCTGCAGTATATAGCTAAAATATTGTTCTTCTCAACAGATGGATTTAGTACACAAGTTAAACTGCAATTAACAAAAAATAGTATTGTACGCCTGTGTGACGGGACAGGTGTTCGCTGCAGTATTATAGCTATAATATTGTTCTTCTCAACAGATGGATTTAGTACACAAGTTAAACTGCAATTAACAAAAAATAGTATTGTACGCCTGTGTGACGGGACAGGTGTTCTCTGCAGTATATAGCTAAAAGATTTTCTTCTCAACAGATGGATTTAGTACACAAGTTATCTCCCCATCAAATGCATCTCTGGCCATATCATGGACACTGGATGAGACTTTGACAGCTACCACCTACACCATCTCCTACTCCAACACTAACACTGGCTGTTTCAATGACTCCAGAAGTGGTATAACTACTAGTGGGACATCATATATATACTGACTGGTCTAGAGGAGGGAACTCGGTATTCTATCATTGTCACTGCCACTCTGACTGGAGGAAGGACTGAACAAGATACCGTCACAGGCACCACAAGAACTGCTGGTCAGTCTATCTCTCAGAGTCTCTTCTCTCATTCTGAACTGAATACACATTGTGGGAAGGAGAGTATGTGGTGGGTGAGCCCTTTTTGTGTAGCTGTATTTTTCCACTTGTATTATATAGAAGTGTACTAAACACATGCACATTGAGCATTTACTATTTACGACACAAAGAGTTTACTTCACGTGACTTTCATTTCTCAGCATTGTCCATGTACTTTGTAAACCTCATGTAGAAAAACGTTACAAGACTAGAGGTCCTATGGTATTGAGACTGAGGAGAACTACCATTGGTACTGCACCAGAGGGGATATATTGGTGTTCAGTAGAAGATTCTGCATCCACACTTCAGACTGTCTTTGTTGGACTGTACAACACTGGAGGAGGTAATGTTTGGTCTTTGAATCTACATTATACTGTAACTCTCTATACTCAGTGAATCTAGCATTGTCTGGTGGTATGACTTTCACTCTCCATAATGACAACTCATTCATCCTCACCTGTATCTCCACTGGTGGACCTGCTACCACTGTCATTTGGATCAGAGACTCCACCACTGTCACCCTAGGAACCCAGACTGTGTTGAATGATGGGGTGACTGCACAATTCACTCACACACTGTTAGTGACAGAGAGAATGGAAGGATCCTACAAATGTACAGTATCTAATGGATTTTCAGAAGTTGAAGCAGAGTTAATTGTACAAGGTGAGATTGTGATTTTTTCATGGCATTACTGAATTTTTTACTAATGGTCACACCAGCTCCCTCTCCTCCATCTAATGTTGGAGTGTCTCAGAATGGGCTGAACAGTCTACTAGTGACCTGGACACCATCAGAAGGACCCAATGTTACTGGCTACACCATCTACTACCAGCAAATAGATGGAAAACAAAATGACTCAGTCACAGCTAAAAATACTGACACAATCAATATCACTGAACTAATCGCAGGAGCAAACTTCTCTATCGGTGTATTAGCCAACTCAAATACACTACCAAGTACTGTGACCTACAGACCAACTGCCAATATAGGTACTGTTGATATCACAAGTGTCCAGTTAACTAATATTCTCTCTGTTTCCATATGCAGCACCAGCCATTATCTCCCTTAAATCCACTCCCCCCTCCCCCATCATGGCTGGAGACACTCTCACACTGACCTGCTCCATCTTTCTTCCCCCTGGAGTGAATGGTTCTCCAGTCTTTAATTGGGAGGGGCCTGGAGAGACACCTACCTCAGCTAATCCCACCTCTAGTGGACGAGTGATAAATAGTGACCTTGTGATAGCTGCATCTCAGTCTGGACTGTATAAATGTATTGCCATTCTTGGTGGAGCCATCAGTACCAACATCACTGTTACCGTTGTAGGTATGTATCTAACAAATCAGAATATAATTTATTATGATGCTTAATATTGCTTGCAGACGAAGTTATCTTTATAAGTACTGTCAAATCAGGTGATACTCATGTAACCTTGTCATGGATCACTGTATCTGGTGTTCCAGTAACTACCTACAACATCTCTATTATAACACAAACAAGAAGGTTTCTTTGACATAGAACCATTAGTGTTGGGAACGAAACTCTCAGCTACACTCTGCAAGTACAGGAATGGACCAAATATTCAGTTAAAGTGGAGGTTGTTCATGAATGTCGTGTTATAGGTAGCAATGAGACTGTGGCTACTACCAAGCCAGTAGGTTTGTATTGTGAGTGTTTTGATGCAACAACTAATTACAGTTTCATTTTCAGCTCCATCTGCTGGCCCCTCGTCTGTGAGTGTGGTTGGTGTTACATCATCCACCATCACTGTGGTGTGGGGAAGTGTCCTATGTATCCATCAGAATGGAGACATCACTGGCTACTCAGTCCAGTATGGAGTAATGGGGAGTGGGAACAAAGAGACAGTGGAAACCGATGAAACTGAAAGTACTCTACTAAGTTTGACACCAGAGACAGACTATGAGATAAGTGTGGCTGCTGTTAATACTGAAGGAATCGGAGTTAGCACAAACACCTCAGCAAAGACTTCAGCAGGTAGTATAGCTCTACACACATTGTATGCTCACATGCATAGAGCTACGTCTTTTTTTCACCAAAGAGAGAGCTACTGGCATCAGCGGTTCAGCAGTGGCAGCGCCCACAAGTGGAGCAGTTATTGGGGTTCTCCTACTAATCTTCTCGTCGCAGTTTTACTCATCGTCTTGGTTCAGGTACAGAGTACTTTTCACTTTCATAGTACACCCGTGACCTTTTTCTTGTGCTCGTCATACCCTATTCATTCTGTTCTATTTTCCACCTCCCTTTGGCTTTCTTCTCCTAGTCCTTTCTCCCTCCCTTTTCTGTTTCCATGTTTTAGTTTCACCTCGCTACTGCCTTATCGGTCTTCGCCCCTTCTTTTCCTCACTTATAACTTGGTTACCTTAGTTCCTTCCTGTCCCCTATTCTTCCTTTATTCACTGTGCCCCTTCCGCTTTTCTCTTTTTCTATACTCACGCTTCTCTGCCTTTTTTTCCTTTCCCCCCCAGTCCTTAGTTTCCTTCCTCCCCTCTGTTTTTTTTTCCTTTCTTGCCCCGCTCTCCTTTGTTTTTCTCAATTCTTTTTTTTTCTTCCCTGTGTCTCGTCGGTATCTCGTTTGTCCTTATTCCCTTTTCCTTCACTTTTTCAGGTATTATAGTACTTTTTCACTTTCACAGACACTTATTGTTTGTGTGTCCATAACCCAAGGTGGAGGAGAAGTCACAGAGGATCAGTGAAAGTGAAATCCAAACCACTGCCACCTCCCAAACCATTGAGGGAGAGAGAAGAGAAGGGAGGGAGTCAGAGTGGACTGGAGATGAAAGATTTTGAGGAAAGCAATGAGGAAGAGAAAGAATACTACTTTGAAGATCCATCCAACATAGGCAATAATTATAACTAAAGCGAAATTTAATAGTGTGTGTCAAACTCTCCTATTTTGTAGTGGTTTCTCGCAGTGATGTCCCTGTGGCTGAGTTCCCGGAATATGTGAAATTGTTGCATCAAGACAGAGACCGCAAGCTGGAGGTCGAGTACAAGGTTTGACTAAACTTTCAATGTAATCTTTCAGTATGCTCTAGTGCTGTGTGTGTGTGTGTGTGTGTGTGCGTGGTGTGTGTTCTAGTCATTGGAAAAGCTTCCTGCGGCATCTACGGAAGCTGCAAAACTCGCCTGCAACATCAGTCACAATAGATTCAAAAACATCTTCCCCTGTGAGTAAACCCCTGGTCGTTAGTACTCTAATGACTCACATTCCACTGCAGATGATCACAGCAGGGTCCAGTTGAAGGGAAATCCAGCAGAGAAGGGCTCTGACTACATCAATGCTTCATTCATTGATGTGAGCACAACTTCATGCGGCCTCTTACAATATATGTATACTATGCACAGAGAGTCGCTATAAAGCACTATACACTATGTGGCTATAAAAAAAACTGCCTCAAATGACTTTCAAAAGAAAACTGCCTAAAGTTACCTACAGACAGCTTCATAGAAACTGCCTGAACAGTTCACACAACGGGATGGGGGTCTATATAGATGAGAGCATAGGTGTGAACATAAAACTTGTTATGGTTGATGTGCTGGTCAACCAGTACAATGAGAACCCATCAACCCAACCATAACTGAGACAATGAGACTCTGATAGCAGTGGTGCCGAATGTCTCTACATTCCCACAATTACAACTGTGGTTCAGACGAATGTCTCACCATTCCACAGGGGTATCCAGAGAAGAAGAAAGCTTACATTGCCTCACAAGGTGACACTTTCACCACACTTCTGCTCTTTCACTTACATTCATACAACCTATTCTTTTCTCTTTTACTTATATTTGGTAGCCTTACTTCTTTCTCTTTCATATTAGCCTTACTACATTCTCTTTTACTTACATTACTAACGCTACCCATTCTTCCCTTACACTTACATTATTTACGTTACTCCTTCTTTCTTTTCTGTTTCTTGCCATCATCTTCGACACTGCCTCACGTAGGCCCAACGGAGCTGACAGCCAACAGATTCTGGGAGATGGTGTGGGACTATCAGATCCCTACCATCGTCATGCTCACTCGCTGCGTTCGAGGACGGCAAGGTCTGTTAATTTCTCCGTTTTTCACATCTTTTATACCGGCATACGAGGGTGCGTCCACTCCACTTTGATTTCAGCTCGCCCACTCGTGTATACACAGCAAAACGTAATTACAGTAAAACGCCTAATTCAGCTAAAGTGAAACAAAATGGTCCCTAGATCTGGTGCACATTTTTATTGAATTATACTGTGATTTAACTATGGTCCTCTCAGGAGAAATGTATGCAGTATTGGCCAGATCAGACCAACACTTCAGTTACACGTGGAAAGTTCGACATCACTGTTACCTCATTGGTGCCCTCTGCCGAGTATCAGATCAGAAAGATACAGCTCAAATCAGTGAGTCTATATCACAATGAACTCCCTATATTACATCTCACTTTTGTGCACCAAAAAATAGGCAAGCATTGTGAAATATGCAGCCATTGTCCTTAACGTTACTGCATGAGTAATTTAAGCTGTAAGCACTGGCACGGACAGCTTTCCTCACTGGGTTACCTCAGATTAATTATCTCATTGGCACACACTACACCTAGGCCCTATATTCTTGTCTTGCTTTATTCCTGCAGAAGTCTGACCCAGAACATGAGAGGACTGTCACCCACATGCTCTACACAGCCTGGCCTGATCACGGAGTCCCTCGCAACGCCATGTCCCTCATCTCCTTCATCCATCGCGTCCGGAAGGAGCACCCGGCCTCCCTGACCACGCCCCTCCTGGTCCACTGCAGTGCCGGGGTGGGGAGGACCGGGACCTTCATCCTCCTGGACGTGTCCATGCAGCAGATGAAGAGGGAGGGCACACTCAGTGTCTTCCAGCACCTCAAGAACATGAGGACTCAGAGAATGAAGCTGGTTCAGACCCAGGTATGAGTGCTTCCTATGTACAAGTGTATGGAAGTGAAAAAGGAAGGGCAAGGATACTCTTGTGGGTCTAGTCTTTCCTTTGGTTTTTCTCCCTTCTCCCAGTCTTTCTGTCTCTTTCTCAGTTTACTATCCTCCACTTCACTCTAGTCTACTATTTGTCCCATTCTACGTTCTCTCTCTCCTCCCTCTCTCTTTTCCCCCTCCTCTCACTGCAGGCTCAGTACATCTTCATCCATGATTCCCTCAGTGAACTAGTGGTGTGTGGAGAAACCGACGTGGCCGCTGGTAATATCAGGATCAGGATGATGCAGCTACAGAAACCAGTACCTGGTGACCCGTCTGGTCTCATTGGCTTCCAGAAACAGTTTGAGGTATCCTCAGAGTGACACATCAGTAATGTAGCTATGCAGGTGTGGCACTACCAGCCTTGCATGTGACTACGCTTTGCTTCATTTTATCTCTTTCTCGACTCTAACTGAGTCTGACTATTCTCAACCACACTATTCATACGAATATTATGTAAGGAGCGAGGCAGATTTCATTGAGTACTGATGCTATACACGTAGTGTTTTAGAAAGAGTGTGAACCATTTAGGTTGTCTAACCCAGTAAACGTGAGTTCTCTCTTGTTACTGATTGTGTAGACCCTGGAGGAAGTTAGCTCTCAGTGCGAGGCCTCTTACCAGGAGGCAAAGGCCAAGTACAATGCAGGGAAAAACAGGTTCCCTGACAAGCTACCGAGTAAGTGTAAACACTTTGCTTTCACTGTAAACACATTATCCTATGTGTGTTTTGACCCTCATCCCTTACTGTAAACTTATGATAAACGTTTGTCCACATCTTCTGAAAGCAAAAGTCCATCTGCTGGTGCTGTTGACGGTAGCCCTCCGTGGGATTATGTATGCCACCCCATTAGCTGTTTACGACTCAATCCCCACTTTGTGGGTGAACAAGTTGTCTCTATTATGGTTTACTGTTTATGTTCCTCCTACCACTCTAAAGGCCTTTCAAAAGGAAATAAACTTTCGTTTTGGAGCATTCCTTCCCAACGCTCAGCTCATGGTTTGTAAATTAGACAGTTGTTTTTCTCTCACTTTCAGATGAGTTGGGTCGTGTGAGGCTGAGGTTTGGTCCCAAACCTGGCTCCGACTATATCAATGCATCTTTCATTGACGTACGTATGAAACCACACACACACACACACACACCTCCATAGATAAGATAATTGAAGTATATACAGGGTAAAGAGAAGGTTTTGGGGGAAAGAAAAGGTCTTATTTCTGGGGTGTCCTCAGAGAAATATTCCACTTTAATCGTAGCTCACTCCATTAGCATGGATTGTTTTCAGACAATAATTATGCGTGAGCTCTACTACTGACAGATGCCAGTTTTTTCTCATTTGTCTCTGTATCTCAACCATCAATCAACTGCCCTCATGACTTGCTTGTCTCCCTGTTGCAGGGGTATAAACAACGGAAGGCCTACATAGCCACCCAGGGACCAATGGAAGGGACAGTGGCTGATCTATGGAGGATGATCTGGGAACACAACTGCAGCTGCATCGTCATGCTCTGTCAGACACAGGAGAAGGGACAAGTGAGTTCCCTCGATCCTTTTACTCCTTGCTGAGAGAGCAAAACCCCTGATTTTTCTGAAAGTTCATGATGAAAGGGAAAAAACCAGGAGCCAAGTTGGTCAGGTGCTCAAGCCACTGGGTGACATGTGGCAGTGAAGCGCTGCTGTTATTTACATCTATAGGCCTTAGAACCAATTTTGACCTGTAGCTACTTGATCTTGTTCAGTCTCTCTTTTTTTCTCTGATAGGTGAGCAGTCATTGTTTCTGGCCAGAAGGGGAGAAAGAAGAGGCGGTGTACGGGAAGCTAAGGGTGGGGGTGAAGAGAGTGAGCCATCACGGTGACATCATTGAGAGGAAGCTGGAAGTGGAGGACACGGAGGGGAGGGGAGGGGTTCAGAAGACTGTGAGTCTCATGCAGCTGAGCAGCTGGCCTCCCGGAGAGCTGCCTCACCCCACGGCCATCTTGTCTCTGGTGGACCTGCTCACTAAGGCACAGAGGGGCAGCCCCGGCAGACACACTGTCGTCATGTGCAGGTCAGCAGCTTTAGCTTTTTCGCTCCACCACTAGTTGGGACCCTTCGACTAGACACTGTGGTTGTGCCTCATGCTAATGCACTAACACTACTGTATTATTTTACAAAAATTGGTGTTCCTAGACTCATTCAGAGGTGTGCATAGCTAGAGAGCAGGTATGGCACCTAGCATGTCTCAATAACTTGGGAGCGAGGTAGAAAGGCAAGGCAAGGCAAACAAGTCAACTACACCCAGGACAGCTCTTTCTTTTCAAAGAAAAGAAGAAGAAGCTGCCCTGGGTGGGATTCGAACCCACGACACTCTGCAGTCTAGGCGAGCGCTCTACCAACTGAGCTACCAGGGCAACTCAGCTGGTAGGGGTTCGAATCTACAACACAACACAACACAACACAAAGGAGCATGGGAGTGTTCTGTCGATTTCTCCCTCACTGCAGTGATGGAGTAGGAAGGACGGGGACGTTCATCTGTATCCACTCCCAACTGGAGAGACTCAAGACTGAGGGAGTGGTCGATTTCTTCCAGGCTGCAAAATCCGCTCGCATCCAACGAGCGGGCCTCGTCCCAGATGCCGTACGTCCTTCCCTCTATTAGCTATTAAAGGGAGTGTGGCAGTTAAATTTAGAAACTGTTACTAAAAATAAAAACTGTTACGGAAATTGCATTGGTCCTATCAACGATGGTAGTACAATTATTTAGCTCTTATGTACTGTCACAGGTGTGAATGATAGCTATTTGTGTTCTACAGGCTCACTACGCCTTCTGCCACGACGTGGTCGCCACCTACATGGACAGTTTTGAGACTTATGCCAACTTCAAAGAAGTTGTGTAACCACAAAGATAATAACCCGCAAAAATCACTTCATCGTAGTTTAGTCGTAGTGAAAAAAACAGCCACCATTAGTTTTTTGTACTCTAGTTTGATTGTGAAATGAGTTTTTCGCCCGTATAAAAATTTCAGCAGTTCACGTGCACGTGAGGTCAAAGGTGTAGCTACACACATGTGGGCGCTGGCCGGTTGAATGAAAATGGGTCGCCATGCTAGGTGAAGAAGCAACAAGAGTCTGGTTCATCGGTTCGTTCATGACGTTTCTTTGTTGCCCTCAGGAGACTCCAGCGCGTTCGCGGGGCGGTCATAAAACAGGCCGCGGATGACAAAGAGGACGACCCGACACAACGCGATCAAAGCCTGGTCAACATAGTAAGTGCGTACTTGACGCCATGTCCTTTTATCACGAGCCAAATGTCCAGCACGAAGACAAATTCTTCCGGGACGAGATAGATGATTTCCACGACGCCAAAGAAAGAGTGAGAGGATTGTTTTTTCTTACGATTTCTTCAACAAAAACATTTCTTCTCTCAGTTGCTACTCGAAGGCGATAGTGGCAGTTCTGAGGATGATGGATTGAGTGTATGTCTACAGACCGATATGTACTTTGAACTCTAAAGAAAGCGTTTGTGTTGGACAGGCTGACGAAGAAGAGGTGCTTGGATTGAGCGAGGAAGAGGAAGATGAAGAGGAAAGCGAGGGAGGAGGAAGAGTTTAAGCTGCCACCTGCCCTACAGAGGCAGTTTCTTGCCAGCGATGATGAGGAACCTTCAGAAAAACATCAAACAGGTACAACACACTTCACACTTCTGCATCCTTGCGTTCGTTTTAATTGTTAAAACGCTTGAAACGTTTTTCCTAGAAATGTCGGACAAGGCGTGGGGGCGGAAGAAGAAAACATTCTATGCAGTCGAAGGTATAGTCTTACAAAAGTGAAAACATACTAACATATTGAGTTCAGCTGTATTACTGTTCGTCTCTCTTTGTGGATTGTAATATCTCCTCTCTTCTCTGACTTTGCTCTCTACCTCGCTGCTTTATCAGATAACATTTTACATTATTTGCTTCATTATTCGTCATAGGTGAGGATGAGTTGAGTGGGTCGGAAGGCTCGGAGATGGCGGCAGAGTTGGAGGAGAAGGAGGCCATTGCTCTGCAGCAGAGAATGACCGCTGCCATCAGCGAGGCAGACTTCATGGCTCCAACCCTACCTGTGAGAAATCCCTCCTTTTTTCTTTCTTACTACGAACTGTTACCTTACAATGAACCGTTCTCTTACTCTGAACCTTGTTCATTATGAATGTCCCTTACTGAATTCCTCTTCTACTTGAATTCAGGAAGAGGATGGGGAGCAGGAAGATGGAGTAGAGAAGGTAGCCATAACAGATTACTGTAGTGTTTTCGGTTTCATTTAGAATTTCGCAGGAGGAACATGTGGCGCAGGATTTCTCAAAGATGTCACGAGAAGACAAGTTGGCAGTGAGTTGTTCTCTTTGTTGTTGTCTTCTTGTGCATTTTTAAAGGCCACCAGAATCAAGTGTTGAAATATCACCAAGGAACTGTTCTCTCTCTGTTACAGCTGCTAGAGAAGGATTCCCCAGAGCTATTCGATCTTCTGGAGGACTTTGACTTCAACATGTCAGAGACGGTGGAACTGCTCGGATTCCAGTCCAGAGTGGCCAAAGACTCGCCTACCTTTACTGACGAGGCAAGTTCATCCATCTAGCACTTGCTCCAGAAATTAGGGTATTGTTTTTTTCTTTGCAGGGAAGAGAATATTTGGACTGCAAGCTGCATCTCGATCTTCTGTGAGATAGTGTCACATTTGTCATTTTCGCTTTTAGCTCTCTTGCTCTCTCCATTATTATCTTTCTCCCCCCCTCTCTCTCTCTTTAGATATTGCGTAAACATCTCTCTCTTTCTCTTTCTCTCTTTAGGTATTGCATGAACATAATGTTCTACCTCTACCTGAAAGCGTCAGGTCTGCCTGTCAAATCTCACCCAGTCATCCAGCGCATAGTTCAAATCAAAAAGGTGAGAAGGAGATCACACGATTCGCTTAGAAATCATGTGATTGTCATGTGACTTTCTCTCACAGATGATTGGTCAGTTGGAGCCACTGGCCAGCGAAATGCAAGGACAGATCGAGGCTCTTTTATCCTCTCTGAATTCTGAAACACCAGAGGAAAATCCAGCTATGGACCAATATTCAGCCGTGGAAGATGGTGTTAGTAAAAAGCCACGAAAGAGAAAACAAGGAGTGAGAGAAACGGAAATTGAAACCAAGATCAAATCCGTGAAGAAGAAAAGTGCCAAAATTTCTGGGGCGAGTGTCCAGTCTGGGTTAGTTGAAGAGGATCCACTGGATTACTATGACAGGGTTTTGGAAGAGAAGAAGAGAAAGAGAGAGCAGAGGAGGGAGAGAAGAAGAAAGGAAGAGGCAGAGGGAGAGAAGGAAGCCGACCTTGATGAGGGAGAAGATGGAAAAAGAGCCGTCACTTACCAGGTTTAATAGTCACACTCTCAGGGATTTTTTTCTATAAAAGACTTTTTTCTCTTTGACTTAAGGGTTTTATCTTGTTGACGGGATTTTTCTCCTGTTGACTTAACTTTTGTTGTCCAGATTTCTCGCAATAGAGGGCTGATTCCACAGAGGAAGAAGGAGCTGAGAAATCCTCGAGTGAAGCATAGGAACAAGTTCAGAAAGGCCTTGATCAAGCATAAGGGCCAGGTACACTATATACCTTTTGTGTGCTCTACAAAGTAATTGGTTTTTGTTGTGCTGTGCAGGTGCGTGAGGTAATGAAGGAGCTCCATCGCTACGGAGGTGAATCCTCTGGCATCAGAGCCAACGTCTCACACAGCATCAAAATCAAATGAACCAACTTTACTCATATAAGCCATAAAACTTATCTTCTTTTTCACGTGTAAGAGAGTGTTGCTACATTGTAAGGGTGTCTGTTTATGTCTTGCCCTGATTCCATGTTGCCATTGGTCTGCAGTCCATTCCGTAGTACCTGTTCCATTCCATCAGGCGACATGAAAGTAGGTCTGGTTCCGGTATTTCCACTCCGGTGGAACGGATTAGCAACAGAGTAGATTTTGAGATGGTGGCCAGTAGTTCTCACCTATTTTCAGCATTCTTACCACCCTTGGAGGTCATTCTTTCGCCTCTTGTGACTGAGAGCTCTGTGGAGGCAGAGTTTGTAACCACCAGACCAGTGACTGGAGTGAGGTGCTACCTCAGATATGGGAACGAAAATGACTACAAAGACTTTAAGTGAAGATTTATGCCCACAATCAGCAAAGTGACAGTGCCACTGCTAAGATAGTGGTCACAATCTAACTGGAGTGTAGTGAACCTAGACTAGTTGAAACTGTAGGCTTGTAAGTAACTATTCCTAAAGTACATATGTGTTTAGAACTGCGAGGTTCCTCAAGTTCAAGCCAGCTGTTTGAATTGTGAGTGTAGTCACAGTTCGCTTGTCATAAAGATGGACAAGGGCCCAGCCGTATACAAACATGATTATTTCAACAATGATAGCTTTTAAACGGTAATGAAGTTCTATGACACTGAAGAGAATTAATAATATACAACAGTAAGTTAGAACATGCAGGAGAAAGAGACTGCTGTTTATGATGTCATTCCTGGAGATATGTGACTCTACACTCATGTACAATGGCGACTGCACCTGTCACAATAATTATTGTCTGTCTCTAGAGCGCACGCGCGCAATAACATCGTACGCCGCGCGCCCCCGGAAGCGGAAACAAACGTTTGGTATAATTATACTTTAGTAGGCGATCGCGAATGCATGGCATTTTTGGCGAGCGGGAGCGAGCACACAATCACATTAGCCATCATAGCCTATCAACTTGAACCTTAGAACCACGAAGATTGGAAAGAGGTATATACAGCCTCGGTCAGGTATCGAAGAGTGCAGCGAATACCAGCGAATAGATAGATTTCGCATCGATATGACAGCTAGGCAGCATGTAATTGGCGAGCGGGAGCGAGCTAACCTACCTAGTGGAATGGCGTGGAATATCTCCTACGATCGACGACCGTACGTCGTCCAACTGCGCATGCTCCAGGATTACGCGCTTCTTTTTATCCGAAAGGATTTCCAAATTTCCCATGCTGCCTGCCTGTGATGATGTCGTGCATATACATGTGCGTATAGTGCGGGGAAGATGCCCTTCGTCGTCGAAGAGAGTGGGAAAGAGAACGTCGTGCCCGTGAGACTCCGAGCAGAGAGGCTCGTTTGTATCAGCGTCGCTTTCGTGATAGGGAACGCGCAGATTTTTACACTCTGCCTGAGCTGTCATATCGATGCGAAACATATCCAGCCAAAACAACTCTCGTTGGCATTCGCTGCGCTCTTCGATACCTAACCGAGGCTGTCTATACTTCCTTCCAATCTTCGTGATTCTAAGGTTCAAGTTGTAGGATGGCTCGTGCAGATAGAGTCATTGTGTGCTCGCTCCCGCTCGCCAAAAATGCTATGCATTCGCCTACTAGTAAAGAATAAGCGCGTTCCCCGTATCACGCAAGCGACGCTGATACAGCCTCTCTCTGCTCAGAAGTCTCACGGGCACGATGTTCTCTTGACCTCTCTCTTCGACGACGAAGGGCATCTTCTCTGATCCATGATTGAGAGCTACAAGCGTATACACTATACTATGCCAGGCATGGCAGCATGTGAAATCCGCAAGCGCGTAATCCTGGAGCATGCGCAGTTGGACGACGGACAGTCGTGATATATGAGGAAAATTCCGCGCCGTTCGTATATTATACCACTAGGTTAGCTCGCTCCCGCTCGCCAATAATTCCACGGCTCAGCTCCAGCTCGTACATTTTCACTCAGCGATGGATTCGAGATTTGTGCTTGCGTTGAGTCTCCTCTGTAGTCTGGAGGTCGACTGTGAGACTTTCCCTTATGTCTCCATATCCACGGGAGCTGGGCTACCTAACCATAGTTATGTAGACCTTGAAACAGTGGGGACAGATAATAGAACCAGTGTTTGGTGTCGCACAGATCTGATGACATGTTGTACAATTAATAATGGTCCTCATCGTGGACAATGGTTTCCCCCTGATGGTGTAGCTCCGCAGACAACAGGAGATATTTATGTCGCTGAATTACAACAGAGAGTTGATCTACGTCGCAGTAATAGTGCTTATTCTCCAACTGGTATATATCGTTGTGAGATTCCAACAAATGCTGTCCATGATGATACAGACATCTCAGTGAGAGCCACAGTCTATGTGGGACTGTATACCACTGAAGGTAAATGTTTTAGCTAAGTGCATCAGGATATGTTAAATTGCTGCAGAAACCATATTTAAAAATCCTTCATGACTAATACTTATAGTTATGGTAGTCTCTTTCTTCTACAAATAGGAGGGAGTGTCTTAATATCTGGAGGAGTGACATTTGACTCAGTCCAGCTGACCCTCACCTGTATCTCCACTGGTGGACCTGCTACCACTGTCACTTGGACCAGAGACTCCACCACTGTCACCCAAGGAACCCAGACTGTGTTAAATGACGCAGTGACTGCACAGTACACCCACACTCTGACTGTGACTGCTTTCGGAGCATACACATGTAATGTGTCTAATAACAAGCCATCATCTTATTCAGCTAGCATCACATTAGGTATATACCCTATTCCCCTTTGTTATAAATCAGAGTAGTTTCACTTCAAGTTTGATGTTTCTTCAGATCTTTCACCTCCCACTGGTGTGTCAGCAGCCCAGGAAGGACCTAGAAGTATTGAAGTAACCTGGAACCCTCCTGTTTCTTCATTGAATGGCATCACTGGCTATGAAATCTCCTACTCTGGGGGATCTGCGGGCAGTGTGAATGTTTCTGGCGAAAATACTAACAGCCACACACTGACTGGTCTTACTAATGCAAGGATCTATACCATATCAATTGTAGCCACATCATCAACAGACCTAGTCAGTGAAAGTGTTGCTACTACCACTGTTCGCTTGGGTAAGCAGGAATAATACCAACATTTACAATTTTTCATAACTGTTTTTTTTTCACAGTTCCATCTGCTCTTGTTCTGTATACATCTCCAACAGCTACAGACACTACCATCACTATTGCTGGTAGTGTTCCCACTGGATCAGTTGTGACTGGCTTTGTAGTCCATTGGCAGAGAGACACTTCAGTTGGCTGCTCCCCTTCAAAGCAGCGGTTTTTTACTGTGAATGAAGGTTTTAGTGGTTCGTACGAAATAACTGGACTAGAGCCAGGGAATAGGTACACCATTACTGTGACAGTCTTCAATACAGCTGGCCGTGCTCCAGTCAGTAATGCTGTAACTGCAACAACTATGCAGACAAGTAAGAGGCTCAGTCTATATTGTGTGACTTATTCATTGTTGTTCTACACAGATCCTACAGGACGTCCCACTTCAGTCAGACGTGGTACAGTCACTGCAAGTAGTATTACTGTCCATTGGGGAGAGGTGTCTTGTCTTGACCGCAATGGAGAGATAACTGGTTACAGAGCACAGGCTGTGAGAAATGGAATGGTGGAAGGAACTGCTAATGTCAGTGGTGATGCTAGACAGGCTACAATCTCTGGGTTGTTTCCATCAACATCCTACACTGTTCAAGTGGCAGCAATGAATGGTGCTGGTACTGGACCATACAGTGGTGTATCTGTCAGGACTAATGGTGAGTTTCGGGCCCAAAAGTAAAGTATTATGTGTGGAAATAGTGACTGAGTCTCAATGATCAGTGAGGGAGGAGAATATTCTAACAGTGTAGGCAAAAAGCCATTCCTAAGGGTCCACTAACTGCTGAGACATGAAGGCATGTCCACTACATCCATTACCTACACTTTATACACCTGTTTTGCATGCCAATGTGTTGGCACAGGTTTTCTCTGTCTTAGGATAAACCTTTCTCAACAGGTGGATTAAGTACACAAGTTATCTCCCCATCCCATACATCTCTGACCATCTCATGGACACTGGAGGAGCCTTTGACAGCTACTGGCTACACCATCTCCTACTCCAACACTAACACTGACTGTTTCACTGACTCCAGAAGTGATACAACTACTAATACTAGTAGGACATATCAACTAACTGGTCTAGAGGAGGGAACTCAGTATTCTATCATACTCACTGTCACTCTGACTGGGGGAAGGACTGAACAAAATACTGTCACAGGCACCACAAGAACTGCTGGTCAGTCTATCTCTCAGTCTACTTTGACCTCATTCTGAACACTTCACTCTCACAGCTCCGTCTGCCCCTCCTTCTTCTGTGAGGTTGTCAGTGGTCAGTTCCGCTAGTATCAACGTCAGGTGGGGCCCAATGGACTGCAGGCATCAGAATGGAGAGATAACAAGCTACTATGTGAGGTATGGGGAGAAAGGAGGTCGCCAGACACCCAGGTTTCTCTCTGGAGACTCCAGTGGAGGAATGACCACACTCAGTAGACTGACTAAACAGACAGTCTACACAGTTGAAGTGGCAGCAAGGACCAGTGCTGGTACTGGAGTCTACAGCCAA